AACCAGCTTTTAGTTTTATTGATCTTTGCTATTGTTTCCTTTGTTTCTATTTCATTTATTTCTGCTCTGATCTTTATGATTTCTTTCCTTCTGCTAACTTTGGGTTTTGTTTGTTCTTCTTTCTCTAGTTCCTTTAGGTGTAAAGTTAGATTGTTTATTTGAGATTTTTCTTGTTTCTTGAGGTAGGCTTGTATTGCTATAAACTTCCCTCTTAGAACTGCTTTTGCTGCATCCCATAGGTTTTGGATTGTCATGTTTTCGTTGTAATTTGTCTCTAGGTATTTTTTGATTTCCTCTTTGTTTTCTTCAGTGATCTCTTGGTTATTTAGTAACATATTGTTTAGCCTCCATGTGTTTGTGATTTTATGTTTTTTTCCCTGTAATTGATTTCTAATCTCATACCATTGTGGTCAGAAAAGATGCTTGATATGGTTTCAATTTTCTTAAATTTACTGAGGCTTGATTTTGTGACCCAAGATGTGATTTATCCCGGAGAATGTTCCATGTGCACTTGAGAAGAAAGTGTAATCTGCTGTTTTTGTCCTATAAATATCAATTAAATCTATCGGGTCTATTGTGTCATTTAAAGCTTGTGTTTCCTTAGTAATTTTCTGTTTAGATGATCTGTCCATTGGTGTAAGTGAGGTGTTAAAAGTCCCTCACTATTACTGTGTTGCTGTTGATTTCCTCTTTTATAGCTGTTAGCAGTTGCCTTATGTATTGAGGTGCTCCTTTGTTGGGTGCATATATATTTGTAATTGTTATATCTTCTTCTTGGATTGATCCCTTGATCATTACGTAGTATCCCTCCTTGTCTCTTGTAACATTCTTTATTTTAAAGTCTATTTTATCTGATATGAGTATTGCTACTCCAGCTTTATTTTGATTTCCATTTGCATGGAATATCTTTTTCTGTCCCCTCACTTTCAGTCTGTATGTTTCCCTAGGTCTGAAATGGGTCTTTTGTAGACAGCATATAGATGGGTCTTGTTTTTATATCCATTCAGCGAGCCTGGGTCTTTTGATTGAAGCATTTAATCCATTCACATTTAAGGTAATTATTGATATGTATGTTTCTATGACCATTTTCTTAATTTTCTTGGGTTTATTTTTGTAAGTCCTTTTCTTCTCTTGTGTTTCCCACTTAGTGAAGTTCCTTTAGCATTTGTTGTAGAGCTGGTTTGGTGGTGCTGAATTCCCTTAGTTTTTGCTTGTCTGTAAAGCTTTTGATTTCTCCGTCATATCTGAATGAGATCCTTGCCAGGTAGAGTAATCTTGTTTGTAGTTTCTTCCCCTTCATCACTTTAAATATATCATGCCACTCCCTTCTGGCTTGTAGAGTTTCTGCTGAGAAATCAGCTGTTAACCTTATGGGAGTTCCTTTGTATGTTATTTGTCGTTTTTCCCTTGCTGCTTTCAATAATTTATCTTTGTCTTTAATTTTTGTCAATTTGATTACTATGTGTCTCAGTTTGTTTCTCCTTGGGTTTATCCTGCCTGGGACTCTCTGCACTTCCTGGACTTGGGTGGCTACTTCCTTTCCCATGTTAGGGAAGTTTTCAACTATAATCTCTTCAAATATTTTCTCAGGTCCTTTCTCTCTCTCTTCTCCTTCTGGGACCCCTATAATGCGAATGTTGGTGCATTTAATGTTGTCCCAGAGGTCTCTTAGGCTGCCTTCATTTTTTTTCATTCTTTTTTCTTTATTTTGTTCCATGACAGTTAATTACACCATTCTGTCTTCCAGGTCACTTATCCGTTCTACTGCCTCAGTTATTCTGCTCTTGATTCCTTCCAGCGTATTTTTCATTTCAGTTATTGTATTGTTCACCACTGTTTGTTTGTTCTTTAATTCTTCTAGGTGTTTATTCTTTAATTCTTCTAGGTCTTTGTTAAACATTTCTTGCATCTTCTCAATCTTTGCCTCCATTCTTTTTCCAAGGTCCTGGATCATCTTCACTACCATTATTCTGAATTCTTTTTCTGGAAGGCTGCCTATCTCCACTTCATTTAGTTGTTTTTCTGGGGCTTTATCTTGTTCTTTCATCTGGTACAAAGTCCTCTGCCTCTTCATCTTGTCTATCTTTCTGTGAATGTGGTTTTTGTTCCATAGGCTGCAGGATTGTGGTTCTTGCTTCTGCTTTCTGCCTTCTGGTGGATGAGGCTACATAAGAGGCTTGTGCAAGTTTACTAATGGGAGGGGCTGGTGGTGGGTAGAGCTGGGTGTTGCTCTGGTGGGCAGAGCTCAGTAAAACTTTAATCCGCTTGTCTGCTGATGGGTGGGGCTGAGTTCCCTCCCTGTTGGTTGTTTGGCCTGAGGCCACCCAACACTGGAGCCTACCTGGCTCTTTGGTGGGGCTAATGGTGGACTCCAGGAGGGCTCACGCCAAGGAGTACTTCCCAGAACTTCTGCTGCCAGTGTCCTTGTCCCCACTGTGAGCCACAGCCACACCTGCCTCAGCAGGAGACCCTCCAGCAGTAGCAGGTAGGTCTGGTTCAGTCTCCTATGGAGTCACTGCTCCTTCCCCTGGGTCCCAGTGTGCACACTACTTTGTGTGTGCCCTCCAAGAGTGGAGTCTCTGTTTCCCCCAGTCCTGTCAAAGTTCTGTAATCAAATCCTGCTAGCCTTTATAGTCTGATTCTCTAGGAATTCCTCCTCCCGTTGCTGGACCCCCAGGTTGGGAAGCCTGATGTGGGACTCAGAACCTTCACTCCAGTGGGTGGACTTCTGTGGTATCAGTGTTCTCCAGTTTGTGAGTCAGCCACCAGCAGTTATGGGATTTGATTTTATTGTGATTGCGCCCCTCCTACCATCTCCTTGTGGCTTCTCCTTTGTCTTTGGATGTGAGCTATCTGTTTTGGTGAGTTCCAGTTTCTTCCTATTGATGATTGTTCAGCAGTTAGTTGTGATTCCGGTGCTCTCACAAGAGGGAGTGAGCGCTCGTCCTTCTACTCTGCCATTTTCCCCCTGCCCTCCAGGCCTACCACTTTCAATCTCAGGTAGATAATCTATCTGGGATAGAAGGAAAATTCATATTCCTCAGGCAGATCTAATCTGTCCTTGTTGCACACCCTTGCCTGACCTTTGTGACTCCCTGGGGCAGGGCACAAAGAGGGAAGAACCATCTAGGTGTCTCCTTTTATGCAGGGGCAGAAAACCTCCAGGTCTTCAGGAAAGCAAAGTCAAGCTGGATCTAGATCCCTGGTCCCCCAACTACCAGGCAGGGGCAGACAGGCAGCAGGTGGGGCTCAGTCTAACATCTTCTGCTGACTCTTAATGTGCTCAAAGGTCATTTTGAAGGTGGCAGGATTTTCTGCTTGACCCGTTAAGATCCTGGGAGAGAGAGAGGAGGAGGAGGAGGGCGGGAAGGTAGGAGGGACTTCGGGAACTGTCTTCTGGGACATTTTCCTGGCCCGCTGGGGGACAACTAGGTGCTGCTAAGGCTCCTGCCTCCCATCTGATCCTAGCTCTGAGAGCCTCAGGAGACTCTGCACCGCAAGGAGTGTGGGGCATTTCCCAGAGAGGGTCATCATGGCCTACAAGAAGGGGTGCTCGAAGTGGGCCGTTGTCAGCAGTGCCAGTGTGGCTCTTGTGTTCACCATCGGGATGATCCTGTTCTTCTCTCTGCAGCAGGGCATCCTGCCAGGTAGGAACTTCCCAGTCATGCCATCTGGTTGGCTTCCCCCATCCCTCACTCCTTGCCCCCAGAAGGTTCTGTCCTCATTGACAGCCCTGATGGCCTCCTCTCCCCTCCCTACCAAGACTCTCCTCCATCCACAGCTCTACCTGCCCCTCCCATCACCAACCCCACCAAGACTTGATTCCCAGCAGACAGTCCCATTAACTTTCCCTTCCTTCTTTACCAGGCTTCAGTTACCTGAGGACCAATGAACCTTGGTCTTCAGCCCAGACCTCCTTCTGTGCCCCCAGATGAACATTCCTTCTTAGAGGGTCATGCAGGCATCTCATATTCAGCTGACTGAGCTGAACTTTCCCTCTCCCCTCTGCTCCCTCTCCCGGTGAAGGGTCCTCCATCCACACGGGGACCTGGGAGCAGCCTCCTCTCTTCCTCCTGCCTCATGCCTGTATCTTCAGTCCTGTGCCTCGAGGCTCTTCCTTCCCATCCTCTACTCTCCATCCCTGCCCACCATGACTTCTCAAGCCTCTGTCTCCTGCTGGACCCCTGCAGCAGCCCTCCCCCTCCCACACAGTCTCCGCTGCCAGCCTGCTCACACCAGCCCATGCTCGGTCTGCCACCAAGGAGATCTTTCCTTTTTTTTTTTTTTTAATTTTTATTTATTTATTTATTTTTGGCTGTGTTGGGTCTGCATTGCTACACGTGGGCTGTCTCTAGTTGTGGCAAACAGGGGTTACTCTTTGTTGCAGTGTATGGGCTTTTCATTGCAGTGTATGGGCTTCTCATTGCAGTGGCTTCTCTTGCTGTGGAGCACAGGCTTTAGGCACACAGGCTTCAGTAGTTGCAGCACGTGGCTCAGCAGTTGTGGCACGCAGGCTTTGTTGCTCCGTGGCATGTGGGATCTTCCCGGACCAGGGCTCGAACCCATGTCCCCTGCATTGGCAGGCAGATTCTTAGCCACTGTGTAAGGAGATCTTTCTAAACATAAACCTAGTTTGCTGTCTCCAGCACACACCCAACTCCTTTGCTGGCGCCCAAAGCCGTTTACAACGGGATCACAGCCCTCTTCCCATCTTGCCCTATTCCATTTCTCTGCATTCTGTACCAGGCCAATGGCCATTCCTTTAGGCAACCATATATTTCCTATGGTCAAACCTTTGCTTATACTGTTCTCTCTGTCTGAAATAACCTAGGCCCCTATTTTGGTCAAAGTTACACACCCATCCTTCTAGGTCTCCCTTAAATGTTCCCTTATCAGTGAACTTCCCAACATCTGCAGGCTGGTTCAGAGCATCATTGTGCCCAGGACCCCACGTATTTCTCTCTCTCCCAGCACTGATGAATCTGGGGTCCACTGTCTCTGCTAGATGGTGTGCTAGACACTCCCCGGGGCCCAAGGAGGGTTAGTAGGATGTACGGATGAGAGTCTTGGTCTGGGGCAAGAACTGATGTTGACAGTTCCCTTCGCCTTGATTGCAGGCTGTGAGCAGGATGCGGTCTGCCGCTCCGACGCGGACATGCTGGACTACCTGCTGAGCCTGGGTCAGATCAGCCAACACGACGGCCTTCTGGTCACCTGGTACCATGCTGCCAACAGCCAGAAGGAGATGAGGGCTGCCCTCAGCAGTAAGTCCAGTTGCCAGAGCTGGGGCAGGCCGGGGCAGAGGTGGAGGCAATGGAGGGAGAGCAGAGGTGGGGCTAAGACAGCACTACCTATGCGGTGGCATTAGGATGGGTATCGCCGCGTTCTTGCCATCCTCCACTTGAGAAAGTGGGGGCTCAGGGGTTAAGTGACTGGCTCAGGTTGTGCAGAGATGTCTGGTTCCAAGGTCACATCCTGCCCTTCCTCCCAGGCCTTGTCAGGAGACAGCTTCCCTGCTAAGGAGGCCTTTGTCCTCAAAGTCTAAAGAGCCAGAAGATGTTTGAGTGCCAGCACTACCAAAAACGAGCTGTGGAAGCCTGAGCAAGTTGTGTAACTCCTGAGCCTCTGATTCAGAATGATTACGGCAGCCAGTGGGCAACCACTCCCTGTGGGGACACACACTCACATTCCACGTGGGTCTCCTGGGACTACCAGCAGCCTGTTTTGTGGGTGCCATTCGACAGGAGAAAAATGGAGGCTCAGAAAAGTTAGGTGACTTACCTAACTTCACTAAGGTCACACTGTTTGAAAGTGGCTAAGCCAGCATTGGAGCACCCAGTGGTCAGCTCCTACGCTCTAAACCACTGCATTATGCCTGGCCCAGTTCAAAAGGGAAGATCACTCTTCCAGGACTATGGGGAAGCTCATTAGATCATGTTCATGTATGTGCTTGTACACTCTAAAGCAGTGACTATTCGAGACGAAAGGAAGGGTCCCCAGATTTGAGCGTGCTTCAGAAAACACATTGCTAGCCCCACCCCTGGAGTTTCAGATTCAGTGGTTCCGGGGTGGGGCCTGAGAATTTGTATTTCTAATAAGTTCCCAGGTGACATTGATGTTGCTGGCCCCAGGATCACACTTTGAGAACCACTGCTCAACCAAAATCCCTCAAGTTTAGGAAAGTGAGATCCAGAGGGTCTTGTCCAAGGTCACACAGTAGGTCTGAAGCAGAGCAAGACCTAGGCGCCAGGCCTCTGGCTCTTACTCCAGCAGAGTCACCAGCAGAGAGCCTGGGAATGAGCATCTGGGAAAGGTTGGCTGAATGAATGAATGAGTCCTTAGGGAGACTTCCTGGAGGAGGCAGGCTTGGCGGTCAGCAGAGGAGAGGCCACCACAGGCTGGGTGGAGCCAGTTTGCTACTGCTTCAGGATCGGGAGGCTAATGGCCAGACTTGGGTGATAAGAGGCCAGAGAACTCCCTGGCAAGAGGGAGGGCTCTTATCTGGCAGATAAGGCCTGAGGGAAAGCAAAGAGGATCTGCCAGCCCCAGGCTCATCCCAGGTCAGCCCTGGGGCAGCAGGTAAGGGATCAGGTCCCACCAAGTTGGGACCTTGGCCAAGAAGAAAGCTAAGGGCCCCAACCACGCAGTGCCCAACAGCATGGAGCGTGCAGAGACACCCCTTAGCATAGCTGCAGGGGTGCGGAGGACCCCAGGCCCAGTCTTCTCCCTGAGGGTCCTGCTAGGCCCCTGAGGTAGGTCTCTGGGAGGAGGGAGGCTCCACAACTGAGGTGGAGACCCTCCGGGGGAGCCAATGGTAGGCCAGGGTTAGGCCGGTGAAGTCACCTTGAACGTGACTGGACACCCATGTGGAGGGGAGGGGCCACAGCAAAGGCCTAGGAGGCAGACAGACTGGGTTCAAATTCTACCTTTTATCATTTACCAGAGGAGTGATTTGGGACAGGTGACTTCACCCATCTGCAGCTCAGTTTTTCCCTCTGCAAAATGTGGGCTGGTAGGGTGACCATATCATTTATCATCCAAACCAGGGCACTTTTGATAGTGAAAGAGGTCATTATTAATAATTATGCTGAAACAACAGGAATACACCAGACTCTCCCAGGCAAACGGGGACATGTGCTCACCCTAGTTAAGTGAGCTACTCCACGTAAATGATAATACTTAGTGAATGCCTAACAACGGATATTTTATTATTTACTTCTAGTAAACGAGGGGACAGGGAGCACAGAGAGGTCCAGTAACCTGCCCAAGATCACACAGCTTGCAGGTGTTAGAGCTGGGACTGGAAGCTAGCAGCCTTGGGTTCAGGATCTGCACACTCAGCCACAGCGCCCTCCTGCCAGACGTGATGCATAGAGCTCCTGGCATGTGGGGGAGGGGAAGGGGGGTCTGGTAACTTCCTGGGCTCCCTCTGGAGAGCATCACTCCTCCCCACCTGACTGCGCCCCTGAGGACCAGGACTCTCACTGTGGCTGCAGAAACCTGATCCTTTCCTCATCCCTGTTCCTTCACACCCCCAACCAAGCGAGTTGGACCCCCAGATTCAGCATCCGGAAGGCACACAACAGGGGTAAATGACAAGGGAGAAGACTTCGGGAGGAAGCTGGATCCAGGTGGCGATCGCAAGGAGGCAGGTCAGGTCCATCAGTCTTTAGTCCACTTCACTGAGCGTTTGCTGGGCCCCTACTCTGCACCCAGCTCAGGAGGAGGTTTAGAAATGAGTGAGAGGTGGCCCTGTGTTCAAGGGGCTCACAGTGTCTCAAGGAAGGCAGCTGGTGAAAGTCAAGCAAGGCAGCAGCATCAGAGGTTCACCGGGCCGCAGAGACCTGGGTTCCAGCCCTGGCTCCCGCCCAGCGTGCCCCCACCCTCCCCAGACCGGAACTGGCTCCCGTTAGATGGGGAAGAAGACCCCTCAGTATCCACTCTCTTTTTTTTAAGCAGTTTTTTTTTTCTTTTTTTTTTTTTTGCGGTACGCGGGCCTCTCACAGTTGTGGCCTCTCCCGTTGTGGAGCGCAGGTTCAGCGGCCATGGCTCACAGGCCCAGCCACTCTGCAGCATGTGGGATCTTCCCGGACCGGGGCACGAACCCGTGTCCCCTGCATCGGCAGGCGGACTCTCAACCACTGCGCCACCAGGGAAGGCCAGTATTCTTTCTCTTGAACTACCCTCTTATCTGCCCAGCTGCCCCCTCGGGCCTGGCTTCTCTGGGCCTTGATGGGCCCCAAACTCTTTGGACTCCTCTCTTTGCATTCCCAGGTGACCGAAAGTTAAGAAAAGAAAGTGCTTTGTGTTCAAGCCATAAACATAAAGGCTACCTTCATATAGCCCTTCACAGTTTACAGCGTGCCTTTATGTCCATGTCCTGTAGTCACGGTCCAGGGAGGCTCATCCCCATCTTGCCAGTGAGGACTCCAGGAAGTCCAGAGCTCTGGGCAGGAGGTATAATATGAGGATGAAGTGGGACAATGCAAAGTGCCTGGCTCAGCGCTGGGGACAGCCTGGCACTCAGCTTCCTCCCCCTCCTGGAAATCCAGACACCTAGATTTTAAAGAAATCTGCAAAAATTCTCTGCGACTTTGGGCAAGCGCTATCACCTTTCTGAACCTGCGCTGGTTGACCTTAACTTTTCTATCACCCATTCATTCAGTCTTTTATCATCCAGCAAACATGTCTGAAGCTCCTTTTTTAGGCCTATTATTGTCTTGGCACTGGAAATCCAAGTGATGGGCAACATAGACCCGGATCCTGCTCCCTGACACTAACACTCAGGAAAGCTGGTGCTAAATGAGTGATTACATGGGGGCTGAGCACTCAGAGGAGAAGCTGGCAACCTAACTTAGACTGGATGTGTGGTTTAGGGATGGCCTCCTTGATATTTTAAGCCAACACCCACGGATGAGCTGGAGGTGGCCTAGTAAAGCTGCGGAGGGAAGTGTTGCCAAGACAACAGCCATGTGTAAGAGCCCAGAGAAGGGAAGACAAGATATTTGAGCATCGATACTCGAAGTGCGGGCCACGGACCCGCAGCATGGGCATCACGGGGGAGATTGTCAGACACCTTGGGCCCCACCCCAGACCTACTGAGCAGAACTTGCATTTTAACAGTTCCTGGGTGATTTGTGTGCACATTAATGTTGGAGAAACAGGAGTGGCTGGAAGCTAGAGATTGAGGGAGAGAGGGACTCGAGATGAGATGGGAAAGTTTGCCAGGCCTGGTCATGCAGGACCTCACAGACTATGGTAAGGCATTTAGCTTGGACTCTTAGGACAACGGGCAGGGACGTTTTGATTTTTTAACAGAAGTGACACGATCAGGTACGTGTTTGGAATACTCACTCTAGTGGCCGTGTGCAGAATGGACTTGGAGGGGAGCAGAGCTCAAGTCACGAGGCTGTGAGTGTCAAACACAAGAGGCCCTCTGATGCCAACTGTCTGTGATGGGGCAGGAGCTGAGAGCGACCCCGCCGGCCCTCCACTCCATTCCTTAGACAGAGACCCTGGCCGGCTCTCCTGGCCTGCTTCTCACGGAAAGGCCTCAGCTCCCTCCTGGACTGAAATCTCGGAACAGGCGTCACACAGCCACCTGATGGAGTTAACTGTGTGCATTTAAAAGATAAAAATAACGATGCTCAGTGCTGTAAGTGTGCCGGAGGTGGGCCAGCGTACGTATTTCTGGCAGGAACATGAGTCAGAAGAATTTTTCTAGACAGTAATTTGTTAGTATGGGCCTTGAAAACACTCTGCATGGCCCTGACTCAAACTCCTTGTCAGGATAAAAAATAATCAGAAAATCAGAATAAAACATGCATCATTATTTGTTAGTAGCAAAAATTTAGAAACTACTAGGATGTCTCAGGAATGGGAGAGTGGCTAACTAAAGCAGGGTGAGTGCCCTCAATCGGGTTTTTGCAGCTTTTTTTTTCTTTAATGAAACATAGAAAAGATTGTAAAAAATGTGTCACTATTGAAAGAAAAAGATTAAAATTATAAATGCAGAGTATTCCCAACTGTGTAAAAACTATAAATAGATAAAAGTGGAAGAAAATACATTAAAAAATGAACTATGATGGAAATGCTTTCCTCAAGTCAGGATAAAAAATAATCAGAAAATCAGAATAAAATATGCATCATTATTTGTTCGTAGCAAAAATTTAGAAATGTGGGCGAATATTTCTCTTTCTGCTTTTCTGTATTTTCCAAATGTTCTATAATAAATGTGTAATACTTTGATGATGAGAAAAATTGCTTTAAATAAGGAAATGATCTGGGAATTCCCTGGCGGTCCAGTGGTTAGGACACGGCTCTCTCACTGCCGGGGCCCAGGTTCAATCCCTGGTCGGGGAACTAGGATCCCACAAGTTGTGCAGCAAAAAAAAAAAAAAAAAAAAAAAGGAACCAATCAAGATGGAGTTTGTCCTCTTGCACAGGTGACGCTGTGGCCCTGGAGGCAGACGTCACGGTAGAAGGGCTCGGCACAGTCAATGAGACAGGGGTCCCCATCATGGCGCACCCCCCAGCCATCTACAGTGACAACACCCTACAGCAGTGGCTGGAGGCTGTGCTGGCTTCTTCCCAGAAGGGTAAGGACCTCTCTCAGCCCCTCCCCAGCTGCCCAGCCCTCTGGTCCTCAGGCCGCATGTGCAGGGGTCCTTCCACTAGGAAGCTAGTCCAGTGCTCGTCAGGAGTTGCTCGTTGCCTTGGCTTTCCAGCCCACCGCTCTAGAGGCCTGGGCTCGGGGAAGATCAGTGAGATGAGGGATATAAAAGTGCAGGGTAAGCTGCAAAGGGCCAAACATGTTTGGGCCCTGAATCCATGGAACTGGTTACAACATGCTCAAAAGCCAAATTCCACCTGCCCCTCCCATGTCTCTTTGCCAGTTACAGTCAGAATCCAGGCATCACCCTAATGTCTCTCCCTCATCCCCCACATCCGCTCAGTTGCTGCACCTGCCAATTCTAACCCTGAAGCCTACCCCCTGATCCAGTCCCAGTCACATCATCTTTCTCCCGGACCTCCTTCCTCACTGGCTTCCTGCTTCCAAACTCAGCCCCTACCTGAGTGAGCTTTCCAAAATGCCAGTTGTCACGTCACTCCCCTGCTTTAACCCTCCATGGCTCCCCATTGTCCTCAGGACGAAGTGTGATCTCCTTGGCCTGTCTTGCAACATCCTGCTCTAACTTCTCAGCCTCATCTCCTGCTGTTCAGGCTCAGGTGGCTTAGGACCCTCTGAGCCTGCCTGTCCAAGAATCACAGTCCCTTTTCATCCGATGCTTGACAACCCCTGAACCTGCCCCAAGTCCCAGGCCCTTACCCGTCATCTGCTTCCTCCCCTTGATGATGGGGGACGGGAGCTCATTCCTACAGAGGCAAGTCCTTTCTCTCCAGGTTAGCTCTGCCTGTTTGAAAACCCTTCTTCACACCCAGCGAGAATCTGGTCCCTGTCTTCCCTCCCTGCCCCCAACACACATACCATACCTGCTCTCTCTGTCCCAGGAAGTCATGTCTTCTGTTTCCTTCTTCCTTGAGCACGAGGGACCAGTTCCCCAAGCCCTTGGCCCTCTCCCCACAGGCATCAAACTAGACTTCAAGAGCATCAAGGCCGTGGGCCCCTCCCTGGACCTCCTGCGGCGGCTGACCGAGGAGGGGAGAGTTCGGAGGCCTGTGTGGATCAATGCCGACATCCTGAGGGGCCCCAACATGGCCATCCCGATAGAAGTCAATGCTACACAGTGAGTGTTCGCCTCTCTGCCCCAGCTGTGTCCAATCCTCTTCTGTCAACATCTGGCACAGTAGGTGCTCAGGGGACCTTTGCTGAGTTTGCTTCCAGTCACACCATGTAGTCTGACCTCTGAGCCTTCACACGTGCTATTCCCTCTGCCTCGAATGCCTTTCCCCCATTTCCTGATGAACCTTTGCCCAGTCATTACCTGTCCCAGAAACTTCCCTGACATCCAAGGCCACTGAGGGCCTTCACTCACACTTTCTCCTAACAGTCCTGATTTCGTTGGACTATCACCGTTGGATTACAGGTTTGTCACCCTTACTACAGTGATTATTCCTGGAGGGCAAACAGGGCCTGGTCCAGTGACAAGGGCAACAGTTGGCCTGCTAGAAAAGTCTAAAGCACTGACTCCTTCCTTAGACCCGCATGAAATCCCAGCACTGCCACCAACCGCCCTCACGTAACACCAGCTTCATGGTGTGCTCCAGTTTACAAAGGGCCACTTAAAAGGAGAGCATACATCTGAGTTGATCTTCATATAGCAATGCCAGGTTAGGAGCATTTTTTCTCACCATTTTGCAGATGAGAAAGCTGACAATAATTGAGGCACAATCTGTTGAATGTTTATTATGTGTCACAGGCACTGTTTTAAGTACTCTAGTTGTAGAATACCACTTAACTCTTACTTGAGAATGAGGTAGGTAATATTATTTTCATTTTATTAATACAGGAAATATCTCACTGAAGTTAAATGACTTGCCTGAATCTAGTAATTGGCAGAGGAAAGATTCAAAACCAGGCCCATCTGACTCTAACCTCCACGCTCTTTACCGTCCATCCATCCATCCATCCATCTTTGCAGCCAGTCAGCCAACAATCCGTCTGTCCAATATTTATCACGATTCTCAAACTGAGGTGCATTTGGAAAGCAGCAGTTTGAAAATGTAGTCAGTGGCCCAAGATAAATGATGGTTCACCTTCTTGGAGTGAAGAAAATTACTCAATAATTTGGGGAGAGGGAGAGGGTAACATTATTTGCCTATTAAAATTTGCATTAAGGCAAAATCTGAATGAAATTTTTAAATAAAATATGAAAGTTCAGAGACTCTCACAGCTGGGAGAACCCACATCCCACACCTGGGGCTTTAGATTCCCCCGTCCATGTGGGTATGTTTACGAAGGGCTGTCCTGCCTGAAAGGATGCCATCTTTGAGAATCAAAGGGGCTGGGTGAGCTGCCCAAGGTCACAGAATCAGGACCCAAACCCAGACCTCCCCAACACCAAAGTCCATGCCCTACTGTGGGACTTTGAGCAAGCCATTTCTGTTCTTTAGGACTGTGCCCTTATATCATAGATGCGAGAGATCCTGCCTCTTCTTAGCACTGTGATGGGAACCTGGGAGATGAGGAAGGGGCTCTAAAAGACCAGCATCTCTGATTCTCTGCAGGTTCCTGGCCTTGGTCCAGGAGAAGTATTCTAAGGCAACCCTGTCTCCAGGCTGGACCACCCTCTACCTGCCCCTGTTCCCAAACGGGACATATACCCGAGCCATGGTAGAGAAGATGCAGGGGCTGGTGGGAGGACTGCCACAGAAGGTCACCTTCCCTGTGCGGGCTGTCATGGTACGGGCTGCCTGGCCCCACTTCAGCTGGCTGCTGGGCCAATCTGAGAGGTGAGGACTCCCAGGCCCCTGCCACAGCTCCCACTCCCTCCAAACCCGCTCCCAGGCACTGATGCCCCCCGAAGATCCCAGAGGCTCATGGCTAGAAGGGTCTTATTGATCATCTGGTCCAACCTCTGCTGGTGCTCACATGCTCTACAATGTCCCTGCTTTCTGCTTGTATGCCTCCGGTAATGGGGAGCTCACTATCATCTGAGGCAGCCCGTCCATTGACAGACAACTCTCTGCCCGTTGGAAAGTGTCTACACTGAGACACAATTTGCCTCCCACAGCTTCCTCCCATGGAAGCCAGCTGTTCCCTGGGGCTGCCCAGATTGCACCTATAGCCTCTGCCCCAAGATAGCTCTGTAGGGATTGAGGAAGCCCCATCCCCACCCCTGCACTCTGTCCCCAGCTGCCCCACCTTCCTCAGCCTCTCCCCACTGGAGGCCGCCCCCTTCCCCTCTTCATACCTGACCTCTAGCCCCACCCCCTGCGCCCGTCTCTTCTATCCTTGTCTCCTTCCTAAGACAGGACCCAGAAATAGACACTCCAAATGAGGAGGCAGGGCAGTCCATCTCCCCTCCTCCTCAGCCTCTACTCTCAGTCATCGTTCCCGAGGCCTCTGTGGCTTCTTCTGCCCCCAGGAAGCAGGGTAGTGTTCCCCCCCTGCCCAGCTCGGGTCCAGCTCTGAGCACAGGAGTGGGGCTGAGGGCTGCTGGGCCCAGGCAGGCACTGAGCTGGCTCTCGACCCCAGGTACAGCCTGACGCTGTGGCAGGCCACCTCAGACCCCGTGTCAGTGGACGATCTCCTCTACGTCCGGGACAACACCGCCACCCACCAAGTCTACTATGACCTCTTCGAGCCTCTCCTGTCCCAGTTCAAGCAGCTCGCCAGTAGGGAGGGGTCTGGGCAGCGTGGGAAAGGGCGGTGGGGCCGGATTCTGCACAGGGCAGCACTTGGTAGACACGGCAGCAGAGTTAGGTGGGATGGGGCACTGGAAGGGGAAAATCCTAGGAGGGATAGGAGGAAGGAATCGTTTTAAGCGCCAGTTGTATGCCAGACCCCAGTACAGTATGCTAAGCTTTATAGATCTGTGAAGCAGGGATTCCATTTTACAGATAGGGAAACTGAGATTCAGAACAGTTAGGTAATTTATACAAAGTCATTCAGCTTGAACGTGGCACAGCTCCTACTGGAACCAGCAAATTCCAAACCCCATACGCTTCCCCTTGTAATACAGTTCCTCTAAGGTTTACTCTAGCATTTCAGAGAATGGCCCCTCCAGTGTACCTGCAGACACTACCTTGTCCAAACACCTCACTCTCCTGACTCCAAACCTAGGACAGCCTGCAGTTAGGCCATCTCAAAGGGGACCCATCAGACCCAACATTCCTGCCTTGGGAGCCATCTTGGTGAGGGGGAGGAATACCAGCTTTGGGGCCAGACGGACCTGGCCCCATCAGGTTCCAATCCCAGCAACCCTGCCTACTGGCTGTAGGACCTTGGGCAAATCACCTGTAATCTAGAAAACAGGGAATTACAGCTCCCAGGAAGCTTGCTGTGAGGCTTAGAGAGGATGCGCGGTGCACAGAAGGGCTCTTCATCCTGGCAATTTGCCCCACAGTGAACGCCTCACGGAAGCAAAGCTACTACACGGGAGGCAGCCTGATCCCCTTTCTCCAACTCCCTGGGGATGAGGGTCTGAGCGTGGAGTGGCTGGTTCCTGACATCCAGGGCAACAGGAGCACAGCGACAGTGCGACTCCCAGGTAAGGTCCACCTGCAGCCCCTGTGCTCCTAGCTCAACCACAAGTTTCCTACACTTGGGGAAGCTGCCTCAGATCTCTGTTACCATAGCAACACGGCTGCAAGGTAGGGAGTACAGCGCTGTCACAAGTGCGGGGCTCCGGGCCTTCAGCATCTGTGAGCCCTCAGTCACAACACGCTGCAAGAGAGGTGGACGTGGGCCCCAGGGCTGAGCCACAGGCAAGGGCCCAGAGCCGAGCTAGCAACTCATTGTATCATTCTGACGAGCCCCGGGCACATTCACAAAGCAGCCCTTCCACCTGGAACCCAGATCTGATCGACAGATCCCATTGCCCCGCTGCTGCCTCCATTGCTTCTTCCAGACAGAGAAGGCATGATCCTGCTGGAAGCTGGCCTCCTGGAGCCTGCAGCTGGGGACCCCGTGCCCATCGTACATGCCCCAGATGGCCGTGTCCTGACACTGGAGTTCTGCCTGCTGCAGCTGGCCACGCGCGCCGGACGCTGGGGCATCCACGTGCACATAGCAGAGCCCACGGCCCTCCGGCCATCCCTGGCCACACTGGCCACCCTCTCCACCCTTGGCCACCTGCCTAGGCCTGTGTGGGTCGGGGCCACAATCTCCCACGGGAGTTTTGTGGTCCCTGGCTACGTGACTGGCAGGGAGCTGCTTACAGCTGTGGCCGAGGTTTTCCCCCATGTGACAGTGGCACCAGGCTGGCCCGAGGAAGTGCTGAGCAGTGGCTACAGGGAACAGCTGCTCACAGATATGCTGGAGCTGTGCCAGGGCCTCTGGCAACCCGTGTCCTTCCAGCTTCAGGCTGGGCCGCTGGGCCAGAGCACGGCTGGAGTCGTGGCCAGGCTGTTGGCAGCCTCCCCCCGGGCCACTGTCACAGTGGAACACAGCCCCAGCTGGGGCAGCTATGCATCTGTGCGGGCAGTGCTGCTGGCAGCCAGGGCCGTGGAGAGGACCCGAGTCTACTACAGGCTACCCCAGAGTTCCTACCAAGACTTGCTGGTGGACGTTGGCAGAAAGTGACCACCCAGGGGAGCTGGGCTGGTGGAGCCCTGGGTCCAGGTTTCCCACGGGGGTGGCAGGAAGGAATAAATGCCTCTGCCTCCCTCGGTCCCCTGCGTGTGTGTCCTCAGGGCAGCATGGAGTGGGAGGTGGGCGTGAGGTGGCCGCTGAAGATGCCTAGAGGGTCTGGAGGCTGGGGGCCAGGTCGTTCCGGTTGTCCAGGAGGAACTGCTCACAAGCCTTGAAGGTGGTGTAGAACGCAGACGAGAGGCCAGTCACGTTGGTGGTCACGTACTTGAGAAGGCCTGGGGTGGCCTGGTTATAGTAGGACACCTGCAGGATGGGAAGCCACACTCAGGGAGGCGGGGCAGTGGGAGGGGTGGGAGCTGAGTGGACGTGAGGCGGGCGGGAGGCAGCCTTGTCGCCTGCTAGGAAGGCACTTGAGGCCTTAGAAGACTGCGTGACTGGCGGGTGTGACCCCCTCCACCCCTCACCCCCACCCCGGGTGCTGACAGCCCTGGCTTCCCTCTGTCACCACACACTACTGTCATCACGTGTCTCCCCTGTCAGCCGGGAGGCCCTGGAGGACCGGGGCTGGGTCTCCAGAGCCCAGCACAGAATCCCTTTTTTAAATGAAGGTGCTCTAGGGCCATCTGCAAGTTAGAATAAGCCCAAGGATTGCCCTGAGGAGCTCGTCAGTTCCGATGTGTTCCGTTAGCTAGCACTGTCCAAGTCCCTACCTGGGGGGAGTCTCAGAGCCACTGTGAGCTGAGGAAGGGGCAGTGGGCATCCCCAGCCCAGCCACTCTCAGCCTTCTCCCCTATGCGTTAGTCAACACTGACTGCCCTGCTGAGTTTTATGGGCGCTGAGAGCCATTTAAAGCCTTCCTAGACAATAAGTAAATGAGGAGATAGAATTTTAGATCAGAACCCGGGGCCTCTGCCCTCTGTGTCCAGTGCCTTTTCCAAGACCCTGCAGTGGCCTGGGGCTTAGCACAGATCAGGTCTTAACGAAGGCTCATGTTCAGCCTCTGACACTCCTAGGCTCCCCTGAGCTGGAAGAGAGAGACTGCTGGCAGGCAGGGGAGCCTGAGTCGGGAACTGTCTGAGCTGGACGGTGCTGAGTTCTGGACACAAGCGTGGCTTTGGGGTGAATCCGGGTGGGAGGGGGAAAGGAGACACCCAGCCTCACCTTGGTCCACTGATCCCCCTCCTGCCAGAAGCAGAAGCCTGAGCAGATGGTCTCCCCACGCCTGTGCTCCGAGGTCTCGAGGTGCGTGGGCAGCGTGACTGACCTCATCGCAATGACATAGGGGTCCCTGGAATGGAGGAAGGGGGTGGAGGGGACACAGGAGAGGGTGAGGGCCTGGTTCCAGAGTCTGAGGCACACAGAGCCTGGCTCTGGGCCAAGCTGGAAAGAGGAGATGCCTGTGGGTTAGCAGCTCTATACTCACCAGGAGCCAGCGTGACTGCACTGTGGACTTTCTGGAAAAGCCCCTCCACTGCAGACACTCAGGAAGCAGTGTTGCTCTTTGGGATTTTTGTGCTTCATCTTTTTGCCTGTCTCTAGCAGAAGTGATGCCGTCTCTCTGGCATCCCCACCATGGCACAGCTGACAGCCTCACCACCCTTCAGCCAACACAGGGCCTTCAGAGGCTGGAGGCCAAGGAGCCAGCCATGTGAGAACTGGCCTGTCTGTGGCCTGGGACAAGGCGCCCTCACTATCCCAGGGACAGAGACCACCCCGCTTTAGAGCATGAGTGACTAGAGGGGCCAGGCATCCCCTTGTCCTCCATTCTACCCACAGTAAGACCACTGCGGCCAGTAGGAAGCAGAGGGCTGACTCTAGGCTGATGTCCCCTCCCTGGGGAGGAAGATGAGCCCTGCCCACCTCCCACCCCAGAAGGCAGGCACGCACCTGTTGTCACAAGGCTTCCGCCGAGAGGCCAGGATCACAAAATCCTGGGGCTTGGGGTCACCACCGAGGGCGGGGCTGATGATGTGGTAGATGGCATCATCCTCGTCCACCTGCTGCACTAGCTCCACGCTCCTGTGCAAAACCCAGGGGCGTCACACCAGCTCCTCGTGGGAGAGCAGGTCTGACCCAGGCCCTCCCGTGCTTCAGCTGCCCTGAGCAGATGCTTGGGGTATATTTCACCCCAACACTGCTCAGCAGGGACCACAGGAGGGCAGAAAAGGCTGTCAAGATAAACACACACACGGGCACACAGACACATACACAAGCAAATGAACACACACACCCGTGGGCACACATGCGCACAGACGCATAGATAGACACCCCCCGATGCACACACAAAACTATGGGTGTCTGTCTATGCAGATGCACATGCCCTACACAGATGTGTGATGACTTAGGAGTTGTACTGAATATTCAGTGAGCACCCACTGTGTGCCAGACCTGTTCTAAGAGCGTTACGGGTACTATCTCACCTAACCCCACGTCAGCCCATGCAGTTGGTACTCTTAGTATCCCCATTTTATAGATGAGGGGGCTGAGACTCAGAGAAATAACTCACCTCCGGCCACAGAGCTAATAAGGAAGCAGGTGTGGGACGCGCTTGGGCTGTTGGGCGCCAGAGCTGTGCCCCTCAGGCCCGGGCACACTGCACGTGTGTGCCCAGGTAGACACACGTAGGCTTACACCAACGCGCACACACACAAGGACATCCACGCAGAGACACACACAACCACGTCCAGACCCGCCACCTTTTCTCTGCTCTCCCGCCCACCCTGGAAGCTGCCTCAGGAATGGGGCAGCTGTGGGCAGGGTGGAGGAAAGCTGCTAGGGCCTCCCTTCCCCTCAGGACACACCCCCCAATCCCATCAAGCATCAAGATCTGATTGGGCCTTCAAGGCCCACACCAGCCTGCCTCCTCCAAGAAGCCTTCCTACCACATGCCCAACCCCTTCTCCCCAACATCCACCACCAAATCACCTCTCAGGCTTCCAGGATGGCATGGCCAGCAGGCCTGAGGCAAACCTAGACCAGGGCTTTTTAAAGCAACTCAGCCCTTCTTGCAAAGAAACCTTATGCAGAAAGCCTGTGTGTGAACAGCTACAAGCAGGCCTGCTTTGGTGAAGAGAGATGGGGAAAGGTAGGGAAAGGCCAATTTGTCAAATATCAACTCACCAAATGACCTGCTTACTGAATTTCCAAATGCACAGATCCCCCTTATGGATACACTGAGGAATATAGGCTCCTCTTAATAAGCCATTGGAGAAATGATCAAAGAACCCCCAAAGGAGGGTGTTGGCATAACAGAAAATGACTTGAAAGGGATTTGAAAAAATACCAGTTTCAACTTTAACATTCCCATATTAAACACTGAAATTCTGGCTATTTTCCTAAGCAAAAACTTACATGGAGAGTCAATAAATTTGGGGAACAAGTGCATTTATAGGAATAACATTTACATTCAGGAACTCACTACATTAAAAAATAACATTCATGTACATTCATGTACATATCCATACGAAGAACTGGCAAACTTGGTAAATTCAGCAAATTGGCCGTTCTCTGAGTTACCATGAGTCTGGGAGGGGTTCCCACCCACCCCCTCCACTTCCAACTACCTCCCCAAGCAGTCCCTGAGCCCCTTCTGGGAAGGCAGAACTCCACAGAACACGCTTTGAAAATCACTGATCTATCCCTGGGTGCAAATCTACAACCCACACCTCAAGTACCCATTTTAAGAGGAGGGAAACTGAGGCCCAGAAAAGACATGACTTGCCATGGTCACAGTTAGTTAGGCCAGGAACAAGACTTAAACCCAGGCCCCCGACTCCAATTCCAGGCTCACTCTCCTCCCTGAGGGCTCAGACTACCCTTGACTCTGATGCTCACCTAACACATAAGCAAGTGCCCCACCCCCATCCTCCCTGCTAAAGGCCGGCAGGCGCTGAGCACAGTGGGGGGACGGCTCAGGAGGAGACACCTGAGGGCCCACCTCTGCACCCCACCCCGCTGCCCTCACCGGTAGTGCTTGTCCCATTCCGGCCTCCGACGGAGGTCTGAGAGGAGCAGGAAGGCCTGGGCGGCGTCCACGTTCACCAGCATCTCCATGTGGAAGGAGAGGAACTTGTCCTCCTCTAGAGTGTACAGGCGGACCTGCGTGGGCCAGAGGGCAGCCTCGTTCCCGCGCCTCCTCCTCAGCCTATGCTGGGGACCGGGGCTGGAAGCTCAGGGCTGCCACTGATTGCTGTGTGACTGTGAACAAGCGACTCAACCTCTCTGAGCCTCGGTCGCATTCCCATGTAAATGGGGAGATTCAGCACAAGTGGATGGGAAGGTGTCTGAAGGAGCAGTGACTGTATGCATAAGCACAGGATGGAACGGTACTCACTACGAAATGGAACAAACTCAAACAGGCACTCAACACGAGTGAATGACTTGTGCCAAGAGAAAGAAGTCAGATTGAAAGGTTATATACTGTATGACTCCCCGTATTGGGCATTCTCAAAATAGACAAAACTAAAGGGACAGAAAACTGATCCGTGGTTTCCTGGGGCTGGGGGTGGGAAGAGGCTTGACCACCATGGGGAATGAGAGAAACTGGGGGGATTATGGAAATGTTCTGTATCTTGATTATGGTAGCGATTCTGTAACTTTATGTGTTTTCCAAACTAGTAGCATTATACAGTAAAAAGGGGACATTTTACTACATGTAAATTATACCTCAATTTTTTTAATGTGGAAAAATTTTGTTAAAAGGAGATAAAGAAGCAGGGGCCGACACAACAACAGAATGAATCCTCAGAGCCAGGTGCCGTCCAGCCCCCTAAAGTCACAGGCCAAAGTGGCAGAGCTCAAGTCCTCCCTCAGCCCGCGCTTGCCCCAGGCCCCCATCCCAGCAGCGCGTCACTGTAGAAGGAGCAGAGAGAGGGAGGACGCAGCGGGGGAGGATGAAATGGGTGGCAAGAAGGTGGGTGGGCAGGAGAGGATCCGGAGGGGGGACCCCCACTCCAGGCCCTGGCGGGGCAGGTTTGCTTCTCTAACTGGGCTGGTTTCATGGCCTCATCCAGCTCCCTTTAAGGAAACTCCCTTTGACTGGAGTGCTTTGAGAGGGTTTTTGTGTCTCACAGTCAGCCACCTCTGGTGGCTCCGAGGAGGAAGGAAAGCTGGGAGGGTGGGGTCAGCTACCTGGCTGGTCTCTGAGGACAGCACCCAGTTGTCCCTGGCCACGAGCATCTTCAGGGAGGAGACGTTGTTGTAGCTCAGGTACACCTGGACAGAGCACACAGAGAAGCCTCAACTTCCGCCTTCCTCGGGAGCTCCGTGCCGGGCTGCGCTGGGGCGGGGAGAGGAAACTGGACGTGAAGGAAGGGGCCCTTGGCTTTGGGAAAGGAGGCCGGGGCTCGGCAGACTCCTCCTCCTCTTGGGGCCCCAGCTCCCTCCTGCCAAGCAAAGGGACACAGGAAAGCCCTGGGCTACCTGTGCCAGTCTTGAGGCAGCAGTATCCTGTCCCCTCCGGGCCTACCTCCAAACCCGCTCACAAGAGGGGAGGATCGGGGATCCCAACGGGCCTGAGAACGGGCCGCTCAGAGCAGAAGGCCTTACCTGGTTGCTAGGGTCCCAGGGGACAGAGAGGGGCATCTCCGCCTGCTTACAGGACACAATGTACTTCCTGGGAGAGAGGGAAAACAACAACCTTGTTCCCTTGGGAGCCCATCTCTTTCCACAGACTTCACTGCTGGCTTACTGTGTGCCAGGCCCTGTGCTCAGCCCAGCGGCGTGGGAGAGACTCCTGTCTGGCCAGGGAGACTGGATGGGACACAGAAAACAGCAGCTGAGGACATACACACTCAGAGGCGGGGGCGGGCTGGGGGAAAGGTGCAGACCCCCAACACCCTTGCTAAGCGACTTCACCCTATGCCTCAGTGTCCTCAGCTGTAAAATGGGATCAGTGGTCACACCTGCCTCCTCATGGGGTCGTCACAGGGAGAACAGTGCCTGGCACATGGTAAACCCTCCACATATGCGCACTTTTCTTATTAACATCGGAGGGTGAATCCTGGTGCGTTGACAGCCCTTTCAAGTTTGTGAAGTGCTTTCACAGCAGAGTCATTCACACCTGGATTTGCTTCTTAAGCAATTGCATCTCCTCTCAGAGCCTTTCTTTCTTCATCTGCCAAACGGGCATCAGATTCAATGGGAGGAACACAAGAAGTAAATTTGGTCACACCTGGCCAGGTTCAAATTCTCATTCTGCCCATCATTCCTATCTGAGTGCCCGTGGCCACCTAATCCCTCTGTCCTCGCCTGTACAAGGGGCCAGTAAGACCACTGTGTCATGAGGCCAAGACCAGAGGCTGCCTGGATGTAAAGGCCCAGCCCAGGGGAAGCACCGAAGAAACACAAGTTCCCAGGGCCAGGGAGCAGACAGGGAAGCCCTAGAGCCGTGTCCACTCTCACCACCCGGCCCCCACTTTCCTGTCCAGGCGAATCTTCTTCCTGGCACTGGCCTCTCGGTACCGCCGCTCGCCATCCTGGGGAGAGGAGACAGACTGTGGTGCAGGAGGGACAAACAGCTTGCCCCCGCCCCCATTACTGCCTGCCCCCTTCCCCAAAGGGCCCAAGGAGACCCTCCCTGCAGCCCTGAAGTGAAGTTCAGATCTCACTGGGGCAGCCTGCACAGGACAGTGCCCCATCGCTGAGCTCCAGCCCCAGCTTCCCCTGAGGCTCCCTGAGTGACTCTGGGAACACCACCTGCCCTCACTGTACCTGCTTCCTCCTCCGTAAAAGGGGATCCCCAAAGGGCACTTACAATGCTAAGAACCCACATTTATTGAGTACTTGCTATGGGCAGACATGCTTCTGAAGTGTTTTCCATGCAAAACTGCATCTAAGCATTATGATAACCCTCTGAGGTTGGCACTAGTACTATCCCCAATTATTTCATTTCATTTCATTTCATTTTATTATTTTAATTGCCTGCGCTGTGCGGCTTGTGGGATCTCAGTTCCCCCACCAGGGACTGAACCCGGGCCACGGCAGTGAAAGCCCAGAATCCTAGCCACTAGGCCACCAGGGAACTCCCAGTACTATCCCCATTTTACAGAGGAGGAAACTGAGTCACGGAAAGGCTAAGTGGCTCGGCCAAGGTCACAGGGCTAAGGAGTAGGGACGGGAACAGAGCCCAGACGGCCTGAACCCAGAGCCCACCCTCTGAACCACTACTTCTAACGTCTCCCGACTCGTGAACGTTAAGTGGCAAAAGCCTGAAAGGGCCTCGTGGACTGTCTACAGTCCCACCGCCTGCCAGGCTCCCTGCTCCTCCAGCCACCACCCATCCTGACTGCCCAACGCCCAGCTCTGCAGCGGGGGTCTTCACAGCCCATGCTCAGTCTTGTAAGGTGGGCGGGCTGGGTGGGTGACCTTCCTGGAGAGAAGGGGCAACCTCTCCAAGGTCACTCCCTGGCCCCCCAGAAGCAAGCCCGAGCCGGGCCCAAAGGAGGCACAAGGGAACATTGTTTAGAGCCAGCCTTGAACCCAGGTCCCTGACTCTCATTTCTATGCTTTTTGCTCCCCTGTCACCATGGTCAGAGCAGTCGCCACATACTCAGCCCGGAGCAAGGTCAGTATCTCCCCAACAGCCCTGCGAGGCAGGAACTGCAGATACACCCTCTTTACAGATGGGGAGTGAAAGCTCACAGAGGGCACCTGCTAGACGTGGCCAAGGTGGGGTTCCAACCCACCTCTGACCCCAAAGCCAGTGCTCTTACAGCTCTGCAGGCTCATGAATGCCTGTTAACACCCAGCACGTGGTCTGAGTTCTTCCAGGAAGCACAGGGTGCCTTCCTTGCACAAGGAGCATCCCCGGGGGCGGGTTATACCGGGGCACTCGGGGCTGGCTGTGCCCCGGCAGAAGGACAGAGCTGGGTCCACTCCCCAGTTCTACCACCCTGGGCAGAGAGGGAGGGGGCTGGTAGTGGGGCACTCACCCCAGGCTGGGGCCGAATCCAGGGCAGCATCTGAGGCTGGTTATCTGCATCGAGGACCACAAAGGTCATGAAGGCACTGTTGATGTGCCGCCGCTGGGTCTCGGCCTCCTGGCGGTAGGCCTCCACACACACGCCCACCTCCATGCTGAGGGGAAAGGAGGGCTGGTCTCAGCTGGAAAGACCTTCCCGAGGTCACCCCCTCCCCAACACGCACGCACACATGCACAGAGGCACACACGTACTCCTGCAGTTCCTCCCACAGCCCAGATCAGAGTCCGATGGGCAGGAAACCCAGAACTGTTCCCTTTCAACAATGTTTACAGAGTGCCCACTGCACCCCTGGCCCCATGCTTGTCACTGGGGTCACAGAAATGAATAAACCAGTCCAGTCCAGGTCCTCACGGGCTAACAGATAGGGGATGGGGCAACAAACGTCTATATAAAATACGTCACGTAAGCTGCAAAGGGTGATGGAAAGACATAAGAAAGGAGGTGGAGGGGCAGAGGCTAATTTGAGAAAATGTTCATCACACGCCTATTCACCAGCCCTCTAATAGCCGTAGCCATGCCCCTGACAGCTTGGTCGCTGCTGTTTCTGTATCTCCGACTGTCGTTATGAATAATAAAAGAGCAGCCACCTCCATTGCCCCTCACTTAGGAAGGTCTATGATCGCAGAATGTAGACATTATGCAGATGGGGAAATCAAGACCTAGAACAGGGCGCTAACTTGCCCAAGGTCACACAACAGTCAGGAAGGAAGAGAACCTGCACTAGGAACCAGGCCTCACAGCTCCTACCTAGTTCAGGGCTTTCCCCCTGCATGACAGTAGAATGTGTGATAGTCAGACTGTGAATAGTAAAATAATAATAATAATTTTAATAAGAAGCAGCAGGAATGGCTGACCTTCACTGAACGTTTTCTCTGGCATTCTACCAGTAACCCCTCATTGAATCCTCACAGCTACGAGGTAGTTGTGGTGAGCCCCATTTTACAAGTGAAAGAAATGAGACTCAGAGGGGTTAAGTAACTTGCCCAAAGTCACACAGCTGATAAGCCATGAACCAAATTTGAACCCAGGCAGCCTGGCTCCGGATCCCTCACTTTTAACAACTACGCTATCATCGAAAATGACCAAATCTTTGAAATCACCAAAAAGCTTTCATGGGGGTATCAGAATTCACTCCAAAGGTAAGGGCTCTGGGAACTAACTGCTGTTTTAGGAAAAGGGTAGGAAAGGGTTTGATAAACAAGGGAACACTGGCAAGAGGTGGCCCTGTGACCTGAGCATCCACAGTGTGGCAGGACCAGAGACAGGAGCCGGGGAGAGAGACAGAGACACACCAAGCACATGGTGTGACCTGTGACAGCGGCCGCACAGGGCTCGGGAGGCCAGAGAAGGAACATCAGAGCTGAATCTTGGTGATGGTAAAGGGACCCAGCAGCCAGGCAGAGTTCAGATCTCATAGACCTCGTCTACAGGGGAAACAGTTCCTGCAGTTTGGCAGGAAGGTCCCTTCTTATGTCAGGAAGAGCCCTCAACCCCAAGAGGCCCCATCTCGCCCATCCCAGCCCCATACCTGTTCTTGAAAGCGTTGTTCACGATGGCCTTCAGCACCAGACGGTCCCCAACCTGGGACGGGCCCCGGAAGTGGAACATCTCAATGGCCTTCAGCGTAGGGTGGGCATGGCACAGACGGCTGGAAGAGGCGGGAGTCAGGGGGACAGACAAAGGCCTCGAGTGCTTCAGCCACTGGCTTGGGCCAGCCTTCTCCTGCTGCCCCCATCCCCAGACCCAGCCCAGAACCACACGTACCACCCTCTGGCCCACCCACTCCCACCCAACCCAGTGACAGCCCTGCCCAGAGGAAGAGAACTAAAGTCCAATATCACAGCTTAGAATACTGAGGTCTACGTGCGTAGCTGGAAAAAAGCTGAATTTGAGGTGACATAGGAAAGGGCAGGGCTTGCGGTAAACCTTTTCCTTCTAACTTTTACACCCTAGCACCTGCTTTTCCTACTATCTGGAAGCCCTCCCTTACCCAAAGCTACTCGTCATTCAAGGCCCAGATGAAGTACTCCTCCTCCAGAAAGCCTTCCCTGACTATCCACACGCTGACCGTCCTCTGAGATCTTATCACTCTCATAGCCTGGTCTGCCCAAAATAGCATTGCTTATGTACTGCGTCCACAGGTTAAACACAGAGGAGGGGCCATTGGAGCTGGTCTCTAAAGGGTGAGGAAGAACGTGCCTGGCTGAGGAGAACGTGGGTTGGGGAGGGCACTCATGGCAGAGCAAACAGCAAGTACAAAGTCATGGAGGTATGAGAGTGCCAGTTAGTGAATGTCAGTTATCATAACTATAAAAACAAGCCCCGATACTTGGAGCAGAACAAGACCTGGACTGGCACAGAGGTTATAGGAAAAGGAAGTAATTATTTCCACCTCTAGGGAGAAGGAAACAGTGAAAGAGGCTTCATGGAGGAGATGGGCAGGATTTTAGCAGACAAAGAATACTGGAGTTGGCATGGTGGGAAGCCAGCCAGGAGTGAAGGCGGGGGATGGGAGCATGGAGGATTGGAAGGGGAAAGGCAAATGGCTTGATTTGCAAGAAGTGTTAAGATCCAGGAAGCAAAAGCGAGTAGGGCCAGGGCAAGGGGAGGCCCTGGTGCCAGCCGGGGGGCTTGGCATTTCCCATGCCATGATGGGAACCACGGAAGGAATGGTGAGCTCACAGAAAATCATTCCTCTCTGGTTCTCTGGGTCTGAAAGAAGAGCCAAGCTTCTGAAGCCTTGAATGCCAGTACCAAGCTGGGGTTTCTCCCGCAGAGAGAGCTGGCCGAGGGAAGGAGGAAGAGAAAGGAGGGGAGGCACAGGCAGGCCACTTCCCTCACCTGGCTGCAATGGTGGCCACGTTCTCCATCCAGGCCATGATCTGGCCCCCAAAAGTATTGCCCTGGTGATTGGCGTGTGGGGGCAGGACCAGCTCCACACTCTCCACTCGGGTCTTCTCGGCTGGCACCATACGACTACAGTCTCTGCTCTCCAGATCTGACCAGAGAGGCGCAGAGGGAGGGAGGCGGGGAGGTGAGAAAATTCCCAAGGGCAGACCCTCCCCATGCGCAGCCCAGGACCCCCATGCCCACCAGTCCACCCCACACAGATTCTTTTATTTATTCAGCACCAAGGAGGTGCCGTGCATCTCCCATCTCCTGGGGCGGGGTTGGGGGGGCAGAGAGCTCATCAGGGAAGGCCTGTGAAAGAGGTAGCCTTTCACCTGGCTTGCAGGCTGCTCAGAGATGCCACAGGCAGGGAGGAGGGGAGGTTGAAGGCCTGAGCCAAGTTCTGGAGACCAGACAGGCAGGACAGTCACAGGGAGCAACGAGGCTTTGGCTTAGCTGGAGCTGAGGGCAAGTAAAGGGACAGCACCCGACGAGGCTGAGTGGCCAGCCAAGGGCCTGGATGCCAGGCTCAGGCATTTGGACTGACGCTTGGGTAGAAGGGCTGTCAAGACAGGAGGGATCTACAGGGGCTGCAGTGGGATGGATGGTTCCCGTGGGCCTTGACAACTGTAGAAAGAGCTGGGCCTGCCCAGCCACGGCCTCCGGGCCCAGCATAAATAACAGCACACGGAATTCAGAGCACAGCTCACTGCCTTCACTGGTGTTTGCTACTTCCGCCTGCTCTCTCTCCACTCTGGGCAGCTGAACTACCCTTGGTTGGTTGGTCCTAAAATTGCCTCCTTTAGGTTTCAAGGATGACTCTGCATTCTAGTGTTCTGGACATCAGTGAACAAATCCAAGGTCACCCCTCTAGGCCTTTGCCCAACCTGCGCCCTCTGTCAGAAAACCCTGCCTCACCTCTCCACCTGTCAAAATCCTCCCAGTCCCAAGTGGACCTTTGTGTGCTGGTACAGGACACTCTCCAAGATATGCTTTAAGGGGAGAGAAGCAAGATACAGAACAGTATGTACTGTATGTTTACTTTTGGGTAAAAAGAGAGGGCAAACTGGTAGGTAGTGTGCTTAACTATGCAGAGAATACTCTGGAAAGATGCCCCCAAATGACGAACAGTAGCTGCCTCTGGAGGGAGCCTTGGTTCTGGGGTAGAAGAGAGTCTTGCTTTTTACTCTATCTCTATGCCTACACCTATCTCTATCTACCTACCTACCTAGCTACCTATCTGTTTTTTTAAAAGTCCTAGGGTTTCAAGGCCAAGCTCAACACGACCTTCCCAAATACCTTGACTCCTAGAGACCCAAATGCATTTAGCGGATTAAAAGGGTTTTCTGTATGTCCCAGGTCCATCTTCATGGCTCCTGGGAGCTGGGCGAGATGTCCAAACGCTCCCTTTTCCCCAAAGGAACCTTGAGGCAAGAGGGCCATCCAGGCCTGAGGCCACCCATGGGTGGACACCCCAAGGAGACTCCCTTCCTCCCTCTGCTCAGTAAGGGCCCAGGACAGAGGGGGCCATGCAGGACATGGGCTGCCCTCCCCACGCACGGCGCTCACCATCCTGAATGACGCAGTTGGCCAGGAGGTCCTTGATGGTGTCTGTGTAGACCAGCCGCATGCGCCGGCGCTCGGCTGCCACGCTGTGCTCTGTCTTCTCCTCCTCGGTCCGCGGCGTGATCTGCTTCAGCTTCACCTGTGGCAGGGGGTGAGGTGGGGGGTGCTCAGGACAAGTTTCCTGGAATAGCGTGAGAGCCTGTCCCCCAAACGGCCAGCTCACGCCTGGGGCTGCTGGATGGTTACAAGTCTTGCCCCCTCTTTGTCCCCATCTTCCATCTCCCTGTTGACTGATACATCACTTTCATCCTCCAGTGTCCCTGTCCCCATCCTTGGGCAAAGGCACTGTGGATGGGGGGTGTTGACGCAGGACATGGGAGGCAATGGAGAGAACTGGAGGATCCTGGGGTGCGAGGTGCACAGGGAGAGGTGGGGAAAAGCAGAGCGGGGAGGCGCCTGGGGTTCAACCACAGCACAGGGTGGGCCTTCTTCTGGGGATTCCCTGCTGTGCCTCCACCTCTACCCCTCCACCAACCCCCAGAATCACCACGTAGACAGGCGCCCAGGTGGTCCGGCAGCATCGGGTGGTCAGGTGTAGCCACCTACCTTGGAGACCTCCCGGTGGGCCACAAAGGTGGCCAAGGCCTTGCACACGCTCCACTGCTTGTCAGAGCACAGGTCCTCGGAGGCCACCTGGATGCCCACCTGGAGAGGAAGAGCAAGGTGGACGACTGAGGAGGGAGGAAACAGAGCTCACCAACCCGAGGGCCCGCAGGTGGAGACAGCAAGTCCCACCCCAGGCCTGGCCTCTGGTGCTTCTGTGTCACCTACCAAGTCCAGGGGGCTAGAGACCTGGGGTAGGTTCTGATTCTGCCCCTGGCTCCCTGGGACACCTTGAGCAAGTCACTTCCTTTCTCTGGGCCTCAGTTTCCTCATCTGTAAAATGGGAATGATGAGGCCCTCTTCCAGAGCTCACAGAGCCCCGTGCATCCCCAAAGAGTCCTCCCATTAAACCTTTAACAACCCTGCTGCATAGGAATCATGTTCCCATTCTACAATGTGCAGACAGAGGCTGTGGGAGGTAAGCTAATGGACGGAAGTCCAGCACCCTCCTCCAGACCACTGCCTTCAGGGTCAGGCACAGTGGCTATCTTCCCTGTATTCCTGAGACCACCTGGCTGCTGAAGAGAGGGTCTGAGACTAGGTGTGAAGACCCAGAAGGCTGGAAGTCAAGGCTCACATCAGAATCTACATGGCTTGGTGACCTGGGGCAAATCCCTTCCCCTCCCTAGCCTCAGTTTTCCCTTCTGTATTATGGATATCGGACATTGCCCTAGGATCCCCCCAACCCTGTCAGCTGTTTCAGAACTCTGCTGCCTCAATCGGGGCACTGTGAGTGTGAATGTGAGTGTGCCCGAGCTGGCGGCTGAGAATGAAGAGGAGGTAGAAACCCACCCACCCACCTGCTCACCTCCATACTGGAGTTGAAGGCCCGGTTCACCTTGGCCTTGATATTCACCACTTGTCCAACACTGAGGAGAGAAAAGCAGGAGGTAAGCTTTCCAAGTGGGGACAGAGGGAGAGAACAGGTGTCTCTGCTGAGAGGAACTGGCAGGAGAACATCATGGCATACGGAGCATATTCACATCTACCATGTCACTGAGTCCTCAAAGCAAACCGGCAAGACAGTGTTAGCACCTCATTCTACAGGTGGGGAAGCTGGGGCAAGAGAAGTGGCATGATGTCATTCATCTCCCCCTTTCTCCCGCTTCCCCTTGTCCAATGAATGCTCAAGCTTCTCCTTGCTCTCAGCTCAACAGTCCTTCCTAAGGAAAGCTCTCCCTACCCTCCTGGAGCCCCATAAGGTTCACCCTCCTAACACTTCTTCCAACAGATTGACCTCTGTCTCCCCCACAGTCCTTAAGCTCTGCTGGGGCAAGGATCATGTCTGTTTTGCTCACCACTGAATCTTCAAGTCCTTGCACATGGCACAAGGTAAGCCATGAATAGTGGCCTACTGAATTAATGAATTCCACAATTATTGAATGCCTACTAAGCACAAGATAACTATAAACACAGGGTAGGAAGGGAAAGAATACCTACTACGTGCCAGGTACTTTGCACGACCTCATTTGAACCTCAGAACAGGTTCGGCAGGTAGGTTTAGGGGGGACTGAGTATCAGAGAGGGTGAGCCATTTGCCTACGGTCACCCAGCTAAAGATGGACAGAGCCAGGATTCTAGACTGATTCTACTGAGCACCCTGCTCTTTCCAGCTGCAACTGTCCCTCTGGAATGACTCCCAGGTCCAGATGAACATCAGAATCCCTGAGCGAGCCACTTTGCTGCCCTGTGCTGACTTTTTTTATTATTATTATTTATTTATTTATTTATTTATTTTTGGCTGCGTTGGGTCTTCATTGCAGCGCGCAGGCTTCCTCTAGTTGCGTCCAGCAGGGCTACTACGCGTCGTTGCGGTGCACGGGCTTCTTCTTATGGTGGCTTCTCTTTGTTGTGGAGCACGGGCTCTAGGCACGTGGGCTTCAATAGTTGTGGCGCACGGGCTTAGTTGCTCCGTGGCATGTGGGATCTTCCCGGACCAGGGCTCAAACCCATGTCCCCTGCCTTGGCAGGCAGATTCTTAACCACTGAGCCACCAGGGAAGCCCTGACTTGTTCATTTCTGTTATTATTATTTTTTTTTAGTAGTTCTAATAGTCAGGTAGGGGACTATCACTTTTAGGAGATGCATGCTGACATATGGAGGGATGAAGTGTCATGATGTCTGCAACTTACTTTCAAATAGTTCACACAACAGTGATACTGTGGATTCCGTTCCAGACCATGGCAGTAAAGCAAATATCGCAATAAAGCGAGTCACACAATTTTTTTGGTTTCCTGGTGCATATAAAAGATATGTTTACACTATACTGTAGTGTATTAAGTATGCAATTGAAATATGTCTAAAAAGCAATATACATACCTTAATTTAAAAATACCTTCTTGGGACTTCCCTGGTAGCACAGTGGTTAAGAATCTGCCTGCCAATTGAGGGGACACAGGTTCGAGCCCTGTTCTGGGAAGATTCCACATGCCACGTAGCAACTAAGCTTGTGCGTCACAACTACTGAGCCTGTGCCCTAGAGCCCGCGAGCCACAACTACTGAGCCCGCATGCCACAGCTACTGAACCCCGTGTGCCTAGAGCCCGTGCTCCACAACAAGAGAAGCCACCGCAATGAGAAGCCTGCGCACCACAACAAAGAGTAGCCCCTGCTCGTGCAACTAGAGAAAGCCTGCGTGCAGCAATGAAGCCCCAATGCAGCCAAAAATAAATAATAAATAAATAAACTTATTAAAAAAAAAAACTTTCTTGCTAAAAAATGCTAACCATCATCTGAGCCTTCAGCCAGTTGTAATCTTTTTGCAACAGTAACATCAAAGATCACTGATCACAGATCACCATAAAAAATATAATAATAATGAAAAAGTCTGAAATATTGCAAAAATTACCAAAATGTGACACAGAGACACTAAATGAGCCAATGTCGTTGGAAAAATGAGGTCAATAGATTTGCCTGATGCAGGATTGCCACAAACCTTCAATTTGTAAAAAAATGCAATATCTGCAAAGTGCAATAAAATGAGGTATGCTTGTATTTATCCACATACAGATAAAGCAAATTTAGCAAAGTGTTCATTATTAACTCTCAGTAGGGATGATCACAGCACTATTCAACTTTCTATAATTTTGAAAGTTTTCATAATAAAAAAGTAGAAAAAAAAAAACTTCCCTCATCCCCCAAGTAAAAATAAGTCTATTTTTTGCAGTACTAAAAAAAAGAGAAAGAAGTGTATGACCCTTCCCCTTCCTCCTCCTCCCCTCCCCCTCTCTAGCCCCCCCTCAAAGCCAAGCAGTAACCCATTTGGACTCCCAAGCTTCTCTTCCTTCCTGACTGTCCTCCATCTCACAGCTCAGGCCCAAACTGGCTCCATCCCCAGGGTCAGTGCCCAGCCTCCTTGGGGCCCCCTTCAGGCTGCTGATTTCCCAACACCCCTCCAGAGGCAGCTCCAACAAACAAATGTGACCCCTGTTCAAGCCCTTCCCCAAGACCAATTTACTAGCAGGGGACAGAGGAACATGTTAAATGACACCACAGTGATGCTAACAGCAAAACCCAGATGATGAAGAACTCTAGAGAACAAATAACCAGGTTTCTTCAACAAATAAACTTTGGGCTTCCCTGGTGGCGCAGTGGTTAAGAATCCACCTGCCAGTGCAGGGGACACGGGTTTGAGCCTTGGTCCGGGAAGATCCCACATGCCATGAAGCAACTAAGCCCGTGGGCCACAACTACTGAGCTTGTGCTCTAGAGCCCGTGAACCACAACTACTGAAGCCCACACACCTAGAGTCCGTGCTCAGCAACAAAGAGAAGCCACCACAATGAGAAGCCCACGCACCACAACAAAGAGTAGCCCCCACTTGCCGCAACTAGAGAAAGCCCGCGTAGCAATGAAGAGCCAACGCAGACAAAAATAAACAAATGAATCTATTTATTTAAAAAAACAAACAAACAAACTTCAAGAGAAGACAGATAGAGAGGGAGAGGAAGCGGGGAGGAGAGGGTAGTTGGAGAGGGTGTTGTGGGGAGATGTAGGACCTAAGGGTTAAAAAAAAGACTTAAGAGGGGGCTTCCCTGGTGGCGCAGTGGCTGAGAGTCCGCCTGCCGATGCAGGGGACACGGGTTCGTGCCCCGGTCCGGGAAGATCCCACATGCCGCGGGGCGGCTGGGCCCGTGAGCCATGGCCACTGAGCCTGCGCGTCGGGAGCCTGTGCTCCACAGGGGGGGGCGCCAACCCCAAAAAAAAAAAAAAAAAAAAAAAAGACTTAAGAGGGAAGTCCCTGGTGGTCCAGTGGTTAGGACTCGGCACTTTCATTGCCAGGGCCTGGGTTCAATCCCTGGGCGGGGATCCAAGATCCTGCAAGGCATGGCCAAAAAAAAAAAAAAAAAAAAAAACATTTAAGAGACCTGGCAACCAGTTGCAACCTGATTTGCATCCTGACTTGAGCAACAAAAATAACTGTAAAGCAAAACAAAATTAAAAAACAAATTCATGAGACATTGTGGGCAACTGAATGCTGACTGGATATTTGATGTTAGTGAGAAACTGTTCATTTTCTTTAGGTGTGGTAGTGGTATTGAAATTATGTTTTAAAAAGTTCTTATCCATTAGAGATACATTTTGTGATATTTTAAGGTTTTTTTAGAATTTTAATTAAATTAATTTGCCTGTTATGTTTTGGCTGCATTGGGTCTTCGCTGTGGCGTGTGGGCTTTCTCTAGCTGCGGTGAACAGGGGTTACTCTTGGTTGTGGCACGCAGGCTTCTCACTGCAGTGGTTCCTCTTGTTGCGGAGCGCAGGCTCTAGGTGTGCAGGCTTCATTAGTTGTGGCACACAGGCTCAGTAGTTGTGGCACACAGGTTCTAGAGCGCAGGTTCAGTAGTTGTGGCGCACGGGCTTAGTTGCTCCGCGGCATGTGGGATTTTCTCAGACCAGGGCTCAAACGCGTGTCCCCTGCATTGGCAGGAGGATTCTTAACCACTGCGCCACAAGGGAAGTCCTTTGAGATATTTTTAAATGGCAAAAGCAAAAACAAACAAAAAAACCTTCCCCAGCTTTCCTCAGGTATGGCCAGGCCTTTCCTGGCCACCAATCATGCTCCAGGCCTCTCCCCAGCTTACCCTCCTTCCCAGGATCATCTCCAGCTTTTCCTCCCACCCACACCCTTCTCTTCCCAGACTCACCTCCACTCCACTGGGTCCCACAGCGTGTCCATCCATCATGTACACACCCCACCCCAGCCTTCTCTATCCCTTGCTCCTCCAAGTGCCAGATTTCGTGTTGGCAACAGAGACCCAGAGCTGGCCCGGACACGGCTCCACTGGCCTACAAATTGTCACTACACACAGTACTGGACCCAGCTCAAACACCTCCTCCAGGAAGCCACCCTTGACTACTCTCTGTGCCACTCACTATACCCACCCCCAGACATATAGGCAATGAGGCCTGTTTGTTAAGAACAAGGGCTCTGGGGCCAGACTGCCTGGCTCGTAGTATGTCCTGGGTTCTCCACCAGCTGTATGACTTGAAGCAAGTTATTTCACTTCTCTGTGCCTCCGTTTTCTCACCTGTAAAATGAGGGTACTAATAGCCACGACCTCATAGGGTTGTTCTGAGGACTTAAGTTAATTAAAGAGACATTACCAATAACGCATCAATATTGGCTCATGGTGACAGAGGTACCACACAAATGTAAGATGTTAGTAACAGGGAATCTCGGTGTGGGGTATATGGGAACTCTGTACTATCTACAGTGTTTTTGCAAATCAAAAACTATTCTAAAATAAAAGACATTTAGAAAAAGTATTACAAAGCACCCATATGCAGAGATCATTATTACCCTGGAATTCGCTGCTTTGAATGGAAATTATGTTTCTCTATCTTCCTCCCTGCATTCTGGGAGCTCCTGGGGCACAGGGACTATGTTCCAGTTGAATTTGTGGACCCCAAACCCAGCATGGGCCCTGGTCCACAAGCAGTGATGAATGACTACATAAGTGGATACAGGGACTAGCCAAACTTTTTCCTTAACCACAACTCGTGGGGCACCAGGACGTCCTGAATGAGTCCTTGGCACTTGACGTCCTAGGCACTGAGAGAGTTTAGGAGCAGACCTGGAGGCCAAAGCACTGTATGCAGCCCTGCAGCCTGTCCTGGGCAGAGGGCTCAGCATGCTCCTTGGGTCCCAGCAAAGCTGTGCAGAGACAAAGCTCAGCACAGTGTAATGAGGAGTCTTCTAACCAGTACAGACGGTTAAAAAAAAAAAAAAAAAAACCCGAAAACCCAAAAAACCAGGAGGTAATGAGTTCCTCATCCCTGGGGGTCCATGAGCAGAGGCTGCATGGTCCAAACTTCTGGGTCAGACTCTGCCAAGGCACCTTATCCAGGGACCTCCCTACAGTCTGATGACCAATGACCCACAGAGAATGTCCAAGCTCAAAAAGGCATTCACTGATTAAGTCTAACCCCTTCCACTTTGAAGATAAGAAAACTGAGGACCAGAGAAAGAGACTGCCTTCCCCAAAGTCACACAGCACCCCATGATACTGCCTCAGCAGCACCCAACTCCAAGCCTGGCTGAGGGAGCTGCCAGCCACAGGGCAGCTTCCAGCCCACCGCCGTCCCAGAGACCTTGCAGACGAGACGGGTCACTGCTCACCAAAGGCTGCCCCCCCTCCATCTGCAGAGGCCCTCAGTCAGCTGAGGCAGGTTCCAGGCAGCACACAGGCTGAGCAGGCAGTAGATGGGGGAAGGGCTCTGGGCTCGTGATGGGGAGACCAGAAGGAAGGGCAGGAGGGGCCACTTACCTAATGGTGTGCTCAAAATAGATATCGTCCATGGAGGCTGTGACGCAGGGGCAGCCAGCATGCCTCTCCGCTGGCGTCAGGAGAAGAAAGCATGCGTTAGCAGCCTCCCCGTGACCCAGGCCTCTGATCAAACGTCAGACCGCCTAGCTAAGGCCTGCCTCCTCGCCCGTGCTCCCACCCTTCTTTACTTTCCTCACCGTGATTACGACACCCCGACCCTGTCTTACATATCTGGGTTTTGTCTGTCTTAGTGCCTCTCCCTCCTGCTAGACTGCATGTCACTTGAGGGCAAGGATTTTTGCCTGTCTTGTTCACTGCTGTGCCCCAGTCCTGGAGCAGCGCCTGGCATGCAGGAGATACTCAATGAGCAGCTGTCGAATGAATGCATGACGACGCCATGCTATTCCACTTCCTGACCTCCTAGAGTGCCCGTACCCCTGTCCAGTCAACCTCACCCACCTTTGTCTCCTTGCCTGAGTCATTCTTCCTCTGAGGACTGTGCTCCCAGGCCTTAGTCCTTCTAGAATCCCTTCTCTGCCCCTAGGGCTGGGGCAGAGCCTCTGGTCTGTTCTCCCAGAGCCCTGCTTCCACCTCCCTTTCCCAGCTCCCATCAGACAGTGCTGGGGGGCAGTCAGTCTCCTGTCTGGCCCCCCCATCAGACTGTGAACTCCCTGTGGGCTGGAGAATACTGGGGCACCACAGGCAACAAAATGAGCTCAATCCAGCTCCACTCAACTCTACTCAATGCCACAGGCTTTGCTCACAGCCAGTCTCAGAGCTGCCACATTGAAGGCCGCGCTGTGTCAGAGCAGGGACCTTAGGTTATAGTACTCAGACCTCTGGGCGCCTCCGGGCAAGAGGCTGGGCCCGAGCAGAGCATGGAGAACTTGAAGAGGGCATCGCAGGCAGGTGGAGCAGCCTGAGCAAAGGCTGGGAGGAGGGAGGAGGGTGGCACTCGGGGACGGCAACCGTCTCTGTAAACTGGGGCCTCTCCTCTGGGTGTGTGGTGCCGGGGCTGGGAGGGCAGCTGTGCCGGGCGCGGCCTCACCAGACAGGCAGGCGGTGGTGTCAATCCATTTGAGCAGCTGCCCGACGCTCAGCTCGCCGCGCTGGTTGGTGTGGCAGGGCAGCACCAGCTGGCTCATCTGCACCTCCGTGGGGTTCCGGTAGCCCTCGTCCTCTGCCATGTTGTTCTCAGTGCGTGAGGCCGACTTCCGGGATGCACGGTTGGAGAACACGGAGGCCAGGCCCTGGGAAACAGAAGAGGCAGTCAGCTTACAGCAGGGTCTCCCCGATCTGCCAGTCCCTGAGACCCCAGGGCCACCCGCCATAAGACCCCAACTCCAAGAGTGGCCACCACCATCCAGCCCAGGGTCTCAGACCCCCAGGGGCTCTCTGGATGCCCTTATGCCCAGCTTCCTTTTGGCCAACAATTCTGTGTTAACATAACCTTGGACCCGAAGGAGGGGGCTGGGAGAGAGGGATGCAACAGAGAATTAATTCAGCTGGTGGGCCAGCTTATTCAAATTTTGCCTCAGATTCTCCTTCATTCTGGAAAGATTCCCCCTCACTCTTCAGGGAGGCCCAGTGAGCCCTGCAGCAGTCAAGCCTGGGGATTTGCTCCTAGTTCATCCTATAAGAGCCCCTTCCTCGGGCCCCTCATTCTTCAGATGACATCAGTAGCAGCATCTCTGCTGGGTGCTCATCCGTCATCAGCTCTACTGACTGGGAGGGCTCTGGGCGGTCACTGACCAGCTGGCTGATCCCGACCAGGGCTGGAACAGCTGCCAGCTGGAGAACCAGCAGAGAAAGTCCTCAAACGCATGAGTTAGAGGAGGAGTTTCTGCCCAGGGCCCAGCTTGTCTCACTCGCCAGGCAGCAGAGGTGGGGAGTGCCTAGCAGTCCCCTAGATGGGGCGGGATGAGGAAGGGCAGCCAAACTGCCGTCCTATCTCTCTCATGACACTGTGAACAGAGGTGGGGATGCCTGCCTGCATGAGAAAAATGACAGGAGGGACGGGCACAGGGGTTCCAATTTTCATGGCCAATGCCAATTGTGGTGACGATAAGTCACCGCTAACGTTTATAAAGTGCTTATTAAGTATCAGATACTCGTCTAAGCACTTTACAAGTACTAAGTCAAATGTTATCCATACAACAAACCTCTGAAAGAGGTACATTATTATCTTCATTTCAAAGATGAGGAAACTGGGACTTCCCTGGCAGTCCAGTGGTTAAAACTTCACCTTCCAATGCAGGGGGTGTGGGTTAAATCCCTGGTCGGGGGGGGCGGGGGACGGGGGGGCGGGGGTCATGGCCAAAAAACCAAAACATAAAACAGAAGCAATATTGTAACAAATTCGATTAAAAAAAAAATAGATGAGGAAACTGAAGCCCAAGTAAGTGCCAAGCCCAGCTGTGACCCACAGAGTCTGAGGTCCTGCCCATCACACTACACTGCCTGCAGGACCTCCTGGGGTCCGAGATGAGGAATCTAGGGCCCTGGATGCGGATTCAGCAGCAAAGAGTGCTGTGACCCGATGTTGACCCTGCCACTGCCGCAGGATGGGGGCAGTGACGGCTCGGGGCAAGGATGGGTCTCATTCTGGGAGTCTATATCCTTTGGATAACTCCCTTCACAAGGATCCCGTAGCTAATTCAGTCAATTCAAAACACACCGAGTTAACTTGTTTAGGTCACTGACCACCCTAAGAGGCAGAACTGGGATTTGAACCAAGCCAGTCTGACCCAGAACAGCTTGTGGGTTCCCAGACAGGCAGCTCATTCCCAAGAGTCCCTGGGTACCAGGCTCAGTGCTAGGCACCAAAAGGAGAGAGGAGGGCAGCTGCGCCAGGAGCTCGCAGCCTGGGCGGGGGCCTGCGGGTGCCAGGCTGCCAGGCTGTTGCAGGCAGCTCCCAGGCCTCTGCAGTCCAAGCATCAGGACCCGTCACCATGGTAACCACTGCCAAGGCATTTCCGGCCGGGTGTGCATTGGGGGCCTGCTTGGATGTGGATGCGGGTGGCTGGCTTTCTGGGTGTGGGAGATGGTAGAGGAAGGAGGCAGGCAGACTCCGTTCACCCGCACTCTTCCCAACCCCTCCATGGCTAGAGGTTCTGGGCAGAACATTCCAGAAAGAAGCCCTGGAGAAAGCTAGGGCAATGGGGGAGGCAAAATGCAGAGGGTAAGGGGGCAGAAGAAAAGCAGAGCATGTGGAGTTTCTGGGCGGTTCTGTATGTGCACACAGGGAAGCCCCCCCAGCACAATGTCCCTGCTTCACAAGCCTATTCTCATCTACTACCTCACTGGATCCTCACGAGGCAGGCAGAGGGTGAAAACCGTTTACCCCATTTTACAGGTGAGGAAAGTGAGGCTGGAAAAAGCCCTAGACCAGCAGTCAGGACATCTGAATTCCAATCCTCTCTGCTTCCCACCTAGCCCATACCCACTCCTACCAGCCTCCTATTTCCTGTTGTGCAAAGACAAAGTCCCATCCATTGGAGTCTACATGCCTGGAGGCAGGATCTTTGCCTTACCCATTTGTTCATTCATTCATTCACTCATTCATTCACCGAGCACCTCCTCTGTATTGGACTGTCCCCCAAACACTGAACATATAAGAGAAATTGGGCCAATCCTTTGCGAAGCTCCTACTCTAGTGCTTATGCTTAGAAGTACCTGGCACAGGGACTTCCCTGGTGGTGCAGTGGTTAAGAATCCGCCTGCCAATGCAGGGGACACGGGTTCGATCCCTGGTCTGGGAAGATTCCACATGCCACAGAGCAACTAAGCCCATGCGCCACAAATACTGAGCCCGCGCTCTAGAGCCCGTGAGCCACAACTACTGAGCCCACGTGCTGCAACTACTGAAGCCCACGTGCCTAGAGCCTGTGCTCTGCAACAAGAGAAGCCACAGCAATAAGAACCCACGCACCGCAACAAAGTGTAGCCCCCGCTCGCCGCAACTAGAGAAAGCCCGTGCGCAGCAGCGAAGACACAACGCAGCCAAAAATCAATCAATAAATAAATTAAATTTTTAGGGCTTCCCTGGTGGCGCAGTGGTTGAGAGTCCACCTGCCGATGCAGGGGACACGGGTTCGTGCCCCGGTCCGGGAAGATCCCACATGCCGCGGAGCGGCTGGGCCTGTGAGCCATGGCCACTGAGCCTGTGTGTCCGGAGCCTGTGCTCCGCAATGGGAGAGGTCACGTCAGTGAGAGGCCCACGTACCGCAAAAAAAAAAGAAGAAAAAAAAAAAAAAATTAAATAATTAATTAAATTTTTAAAAAAAGAAGTACCTGGCACACAGTAGGACCTCATCAAAGGTTTGTAAAGGAATGTCTAGAGGCAGACTTGAGTTCAAATCCTAGCCCTGCCCCTCATGCGCTGTGTGATCCTGAGCAAGCCCCTCCCTCCTGAACCTCATCTGTCACTCACCAGGCAGGGGCAGGGGGCGACTGCCAGTCCTCAAGATATCCCACCCTCGATGCCAGGATTCTGGGATCTAATCCTGCAGGGCTCTGGCATAGCCAGCTGAGTTTTCCAATGAGGAAGCTAAGGAGCCCGGTTACCTGTCAGGCAGGAAATACTGTACTCTGAGCAGGGCTGAGCTCCCACCCCACTCCCCCCTGGCAAGCTAAGGAACAAGCCCCACTGTGCTGTGCTCCCAGTTCCCTCAAAGAGAGGAGTGCAGAGCCCCCGGGCTGGAGCACGCGCAGGGAGGCAAAGCACAGCCTCTCAGACTCCAGCTCCTTCCTTGGGCTCCAAGGCAGTCTGCCACGTCAGGGCAGGCAAGGCCAGGCCTCCTTCTAATCCCATGGTGGGCAGGCATCCAGCCCAGGAGGCAGGGGCGTGTGTGGCCCAGGCAGGGTTTTGCCAATAAGGCCCCAGAGCCGAGCCATTCCTCTCAGGGCCAGTCACGGGGAGAGCAGAGGCCCTGGTCAGAGTTAGGGCCTGGGGCGGCCAGGCAGGCTGCGCCAAGACAGCTGACAGGGGGGACAGAGCCTGCACGAAGGTGGAGAGGGCATCTAAGGGCCAGGGACACGCGCTCTCAGACGGCAGCCATGCCGGGGGCTGGCTTCCAGCCGCAACAGACCCGGCCAGATTTGATAATCCCAGACTAGGCCCCAGCCGGCTACACTGTGGTCTCTGTGTCCTTGCTCCTCAGCCAGAGGCATGGGACAGAACTGCTGGGTCAGAGCAAGAAAGGCCACTTTGCTCAATCCCTTCACACCTGGGGAAACTGAGGCACACAGAGGGAAAGGCTGGTCCTGGTAAAGCCCCCTAGGCCAGGGCTCCTTCTGGGCAATTTAACAACAGGCCACACTACAGACTTAATCTGGATTTCCTCCCTCTCCCAAGTAGCCAAGTCTCAGTGACCCAACCTCCTTAAACTCTCAGTCTAGCCCCCCTGCCCTGATGTGTCAGGCCCCCACACTGCTCACTCACTGGGTCATTTCCACAGCCAGTCCACAGGCCTCCAGTAGCTCTCCACCTCCTTCCAGGCCTCTATGCAACACCGGAAGGATCTTTCCAAAACCCAAAGCCACCAACTAGACAACCACAACCTACAGCGTCCTGCCTTGCAGGGAGGCTGGACCCAGTCCTTGCAACTGGGACTTCGTTCTGTGCCTTAGGACCACACAGACTTTTCTGAAGAGCAAGCCTGAGCAGGCATCTCCCCTGCTCAAGACTCCTCGATGGCTTCCTGCCGCTCTCAGGACCGAGGCCCTACTCTGTAGCTGCTGCCACTGTCCCCGCAGCTGCTCTCCCAGCTCCAGACCACACTCGGTTCCCCAGAGCACGCTCTCACCCCACCTCCGTTCCTCTGCCACATGGGCACTGCCTCTGCCTAGGATCCCTTCACCTGCGCTACCTGCCGAGTGACTGCTTCCTCCTCCTCCCTCTTCAGCACCTCCCCCTGCCTTTTCCCCAGGGAGAGCTAGGGCCTCCCTGGCCCCCACAGCCTTACTGTCTCCACACGGCACTGACCGAGCTGTGCGGTCACTGATTCAGAGCCACCAGCCCCAGCAGACAGGCATTCCCACAGCACAGGGATGGAGTCAGGCCTGGCACAGAGCAGGTGCCAAATAAACGCCTATGGGAGAGGAAAAGGGTGATGACAAGGGCGGCCTAGGAGCTGAGACTTGATGACGAGGACCATCTGCGGTACAGGGAGGACTGCAGAACAGCAGAAAGGAGACGCAGGAACAGCAGGGACTCCAGTGACGGGAGTGGCCGCGGCAAAGGGAAGCA